TTATCTACATATCTTATTAACGCTGTCTTTGTTTTCTGTTTGCAGCGCTCCGTTGACATCAGACGAACAAGGTATCACACGCACGCACAGACACACAGTCAGTGTCACAATATTAAAGTTTAACTTTTTAAGGAGCCTGAAAGTAAGAGATTTCTCCAAAAACACAACAGGCAAGGTTAAACTTTGTTGTATAAATTCATTTCTAGTTATTTATATATAACAAAAATACAATAAAAATTTCCTTAAAGTGCTTTATGGAGAGTAAAGTCCAGCAATCAGATGGCAGGCGACTGTGGGAAGGAAAAACTCCCTGGTAACTGGTGTGTATTGATGTTTTTTGTTTTGTTTTTTAAACAGAAGCAACGTCTAAGCCAGGCTCATCTTCCTGCTTTGATTCCTTCTGTAATTTTGTCATATTTTAAGGAGTTTTCCAGCCCTCTAATTACTCTCCTGTACTTACCTGGTACAAAAGGGCACATTAAATGTAAAGTGTTTGGCGTGCCTGTAAGTTGTAATATTCAGAGTATGAGGGTAAATATTTGCCTGATTTGATTAAATGTAATGCGGTGAATGTAAACCGTAAAGATCAGCTGGTTGTGAGTTGTCAGGTGGAAGTCACGGGTTGACCTTTGATATGACTCATAGATCAGTGCGTGTCTCAACTTTAGAAACTAAAAGTAAAACGCTTCTCGGACAGATACAGTTTCCTCATTTGCTTTTGTTTTCTTTCTGAAAAATAAGACTGAGCAAACTTCTTCCATTTTCATATGGAGATGGGCAGTTTAGGACTTTTCTTTACAGGTTTCTGTCTTTGGTAAATTGATTTGCTTTCTTCAGTGTCTTCACACTTCTGAACACACTGTGGAACGGTGTTTGCGAGGCCTGTTTACAGAGTCACATCAACAGTCATCCATATTCCCGGGACTCACCAGTTCTCCCAGAGAACCGGTTGTTCCTTGTGCTTCCAGTTCTGCTGCTTTTTTTCTACTTGTGCCGATTTACGATTTTAGAAGCGCCTTGCTTGGACCGAAATGTATTGCTTTTAACACGTTTATTTAATTATTTTCCTAAAAGCAGCTCCGACGGTCAGTCGCTGACTATGAAATCCTCATCCGTAAATGCTCCAGACACACATTAAGTGCTGGAGTTTTAGTTTCCCTGAGATTAATGCTGTCATTAAGTGTTTCTCGTTTCTAGTTGGGCTGTTCAGAGCAGCATGATGCCTCGAGACAAGAGGAATATTTCTCCTGTGTGGAAAAAACACCTCAGCCTTCACCTTTGTAAGAAAGTGGAGCAAAGTTAAAATAGAGCCCTGTGGAAAGACTCAGGCTGATGCTCCCTTCAAACAATAGGTCACCTTAATTATCTGTTACTGAGAAAAAGATCCCTGCATTGTTTTTCTGCTGTAAACAGTGTTTGAGCACAGAGACAGCTGCAGAAAAGATGAAGAAAGTGACTGCTTTGTGTTTGTGTGTTCACAGCTCTGCTGACAGCTGCAAGTTCTGGGGACCTCTCCACGGTAATTCACATCCACTCTGTCACGGCCTGAGGATGACCTGTTACTAGCCTGTGTGTTAGCCACTGCAGAATTAGTTTTTGTGGTTTAATGTTGCACAACATTAAAATTCCCTTTGCCCAGCCGATCAACAAAGACTCAGCAGTTTCTTAAGTCATGAAAAGGTTAAATTATGCATCACTCCAAACACCACAGGATCCTTTTTTTTTAATTACATGCATGCTGTGACTCATACTACAGGCATTCTTACAAAGTTCCCTGTCAGCCATGACAGTAACACCTAATAAAGGGAGGAAATCCCACAGTTTCTTGTTTCTGTCATGTGTAC